GCCACTAGCGGTGAGTTAGTGCTTGCGCCCCCTGCCACTAGCGGTGAGCTAGTGCTTGCGCCTCCCCTGCCACTAGCGGTGAGCTAGTGCTTGCGCCTCCCCTGCCACTAGCGGTGAGTTAGTGCTTGCGCCTCCCCTGCCACTAGCGGTGAGCTAGTGCTTGCGCCTCCCCTGCCACTAGCGGTGAGCTAGTGCTTGCGCCTCCCCTGCCACTAGCGGTGAGCTAGTGCTTGCGCCTCCCCTGCCACTAGCGGTGAGCTAGTGCTTGCGCCTCCCCTGCCACTAGCGGTGAGTTAGTGCTTGCGCCTCCCCTGCCACTAGCGGTGAGCTAGTGCTTGCGCCTCCCCTGCCACTAGCGGTGAGCTAGTGCTTGCGCCTCCCCTGCCACTAGCGGTGAGCTAGTGCTTGCGCCTCCCCTGCCACTAGCGGTGAGCTAGTGCTTGCGCCTCCCCTGCCACTAGCGGTGAGCTAGTGCTTGCGCCTCCCCTGCCACTAGCGGTGAGTTAGTGCTTGCGCCTCCCCTGCCACTAGCGGTGAGCTAGTGCTCGAGCCTCCCCTGCCACTAGCGGTGAGCTAGTGCTCGAGCCTCCCCTGCCACTAGCGGTGAGCTAGTGCTTGCGCCTCCCCTGCCACCAGTGTTTTATTTTCCACTGGAAAATAAACTATCAACAACGCCAACACTTAACAGTTCATCGACAGGTCGTCCTACGACGAACATCGGCGTCAGCTGCTGCGCAGCATCGATACTGAGCGGATCATCAGGTAGCAAACACTCGTTTTACGAGAATTTTCTCTCAAACAAACACCAACATTTCACTTTCGTCTCTACTGACTTGTTTCTAGCTCTTCCCATGAGTCTAATGACTCAAGAATACAATTTGTGCACCATCGAACTCATCAAAGACCTGGTTTCTTCAGACTCTCGCCCCGCTGGGATGCTGCCCATCACAAACTTTCAGCTACCACTATTGTTTTCTTGTCGCTAATTTATTTGTCGGGGAAAAAAATAATCTGAGGCAGGT